TCTCGCTCGCTCTCGCTCGCTCTCGCTCTCGCTCTCTCTCGCTCTCGTTCTCTCTGTCTTGTTGCGAATCGCACTATTGTTTGCAATTGTAGAGCAGTTTACAGTGTCGAGAATCATGTGAATGGTGATCAATGGATATCGATGGGGTTGGATAGGATTGTAAATTGTAACGTTTGTGTAAATTGTAATTTTAAATTAATTAATCGTAGAATTGACATTGGATCGAAATATCTCTCTATGTCTGGTGGAATATTTAATAAATCAAATAATACTGTTCATTGGCATCGAGGCAAAGTGACTCGATTAACGATTCTCATGCGAGATCCATCGAAGTTGCAACGCGTCGTACAAATTATCGAGATATTCTTGATATCACACCGATCAAATTAAATGTTCGACAAACAAGGGGCAGGTGATCTTCGATTCTTGCTTGGAATAGACCCGTTTGTATAGCCCGGATAACGATGTTTCGTTTCGTTTATCCCGATTACGGACCGATCGTCACGAAAACTCGTCGCTTCCACGAGATAATTAATCGGGAACAAGAGGTGCACGGTTCTCTCCTCCCGCTCCTGTTTGAAACGGAAGAATCTGTCGCGGAAAATAATTATGCGGGGCCGCGCAATTTGTCCGCCTTCCAATTAGAACTTCTTCTTTCTCGGTTGTGTAGCTTTATTTGTTGCTGCGAGAGTTCGGCCAACTTTTTAATTGAAATTCATTAACTCGAGGGGGAGTAGATAAGGGAGGGGGAGAGGGAGTGGGGAGGCGAAAATCTTGAAACCGTCGAGAACGTAAGATATTCGTTTATTAAAATACGAATACCGTGGCAGGCCAGGTGGAATATTAAACTGTGTGGCGGCCCCCGTGATTAATCTCCCAAAATTCTCTATACTCTCTCGCGCGAACGGAGTAATTAAAAATTGTATCCTTTCCCTTCTCCCGGTGTAACCTGTTATCTCTTTCGATCCGTGGGATTAATTAAAACGGGGTTCACGTACGACTTCTCCCCCTTGATACGAAAGAAAAAAAAAAAAATATTCGATATTGAATTCGGCTCGAGTTTCGATACGGAATATCATAGATTTTTTTTTTTTTCGAGGCAAGGTTCATTTAAGAGGCGGATTCAAATTCAAAATTGATTTTTTTTGATTCTTGAAAATTTCAATTCCCCTCTTCGTCTGGATTGTTCGTGTTTATTAGATCGTGTCGCGTGAAATTTTCGATCGGTCAGAAGAAAAACGATACATCTTCGAAACTATAATCTTCGTTCGATCGAGAATACGAGCTATTGGCTTTAACGAGATTCTACAATTGACGTATTCCATTTTTATAAAATTCGATGGTTTTGATAAGAAGAAATTACAGCTTGTCAAAATATTTTATTTTTTTTTCTCACAACCGAGTGGCCACGACTTTTAATTTCATTAAAAAATTGGTTTTTATCGTTTCGAGCTTTATATAAGCTTCGAAACGTTCCAACTTTTGACCCTCCTCTTCCAATTTCTTCGCTTCACTCATTTGCACTTGAGTATGTGAAAATTGTGATTGGAGACTCCGCTTCCACTTTTGCCTTTAATTTATCTTTGTTTAATACGGATCTTTGGTCTATCTCGAGGCTTATTTTCAAAATTCTCGTTTCTACGCGTGAATTTTTGAATCGATAGAATTTTCTCCAAAAACTAATCTCGTACAGGAATTTCTCGCATAACAATTAAACAGATTCAAAAAAAGAATTTATTACACAAAGGAGATAAAAGGACAACGTGAATACGAAACGTGAAAACATGCTAATCAAAATATATAGTTAAGTAGAATTTATAAGTTGCAATTGATTTATTCTAAAATTTCAAAATCCAATATAATCATTATCCCGAATATTTGAATATTTTTGAGAAATATTAACAAATTGATATGGATATTTACTACGTATATTTCTCTGTCGATATCAATTTTATTTGCAAAAATTGAAATATATAATATAAATAATTTGGGGAAAAAATCCTCTTCATTTGCAATTGAAACAATCGGTCCAAAATATACACAAACGCGAAACCACTCTTCTTTCCAGAAAGGAAAGAAAAAGAAAAAAAAAGAAAGACACCGGACTCTATTCTCGAAGCTTCGAAGCCTTCCATCTCGAACAGAGCGAGCGGATCTTTTTCTTCCTCCAATTTCTTTCCTCTTCCCCGACGGGGAAAGAAAGAAGAAAGAAGAGCGGTAATTAAAGAAGGATCGGGATATCAAGGAGCGGTCGAATTTCAGCCGAGCGGTTGAATTTTCTCGCGTCATTAAACCGCGAATGAACAAAAAATGGTGTATACTTAGCAGGAGAGGGGTGGAGGAGAAGGAGGAGTGAGGGAGAGGGGAGCGGAGCGGAAACGGAGAAATTGGGGGCGCGCGCGCGAGGGAAGAGGCGAGCGGGCGGCGGGGGAGAAGGAGGGGCGGTGGACACGCCTACGGCAGGTGAAATCTAACGGAAGATTGAAGAGGGTGACCGGTTGATGTTACAAAGCGGGAGAGAACGCGCGAAAAAGTCTCTCGTTGCGGAGGGGTAATTAGCGTGGGCCCGCTCGGTGGATTAATTAAAACCGGGGCTCCTTGAAAATGTGACGTGGACGGTTGGTTACTTACTAAAACGAAGGAAAGAAAGGGGCCGGGGAATGAAAGGGCTGTTTCGCGGCCGAATATAGGCAAACGGTTTTGTGAAGAGGAGAAGGAGGGAGGGGGGGAAAGAAAGAAAAAAATTCTCTCGATAATTTTCCCCTTTTCACCATTTTTTTTGTTTTTCTTCCTCCTCCTCTTCCTCCTTCTCTCTCTTTTTCCCTTTGCTCGAGTGCCTCTTTAATTAAGCGAAGTCCCTTAATTCGCTACCCGCTGTTTGTGTAATGTAAACGATTTGGAAATCGATTCAGGAATAATTGAGAAATTTTATGGATGTACGAGTGGTTGCGTTGATCTCTTCGAAAAATAAAGATTTTGATTGGAATTGTCGTGGAACAACCGAGATGTCAATGTGATACTTCATCATTTTTCTTTTTTCTCGAACGCTTTTAATTTTTTTATCTGTTTGTAGAAGGAATTTAGAATCTTGCAAGAATAGGAATTTCAAGGAATTTTCATATAAGTATTGATGTCTTTGAAAAATAAGAATTTTGATTAGAATTGTCTTGGAACGATACCTATAAGATATTTTTAATCTAATTTTTACGTAATTGAGATGTCGTGATTTGCTTTCATAATTTGCTATTTTAATTTGTTTTCTTTATATACGTAAATATCGATTAAAAATTTTAAGTAATTCATTTCTTTGAAAAATAACAGTAGAAAAAATGAGTTTCAGCCAATAAATGTTTGATGATTCGTATCCAATTTGAATAAAATATTTGGTAACAATCTTTAAATTTATTAACGAAAGAATCATTCTGTATAATCTCGAAAGATACGAATCGTAAATTTTGATATATTTTATGAAAATGTGGATTTTCATAATTTTTTGAACATTTTCAATTCTTTACAATTTTATTTTGAGTGAAAATATAAAGTAATTAAAAGAAGACAATTCCAAGCAGTATATTTGGATAATTCATTATTAATATTAATATTAAAAATACGTTAGTAGCTGTTCAAATATTAATTCAATTTTGGATGAAAATATGAATAATTGATAACACGCCAGTAAGACGGTTCGAATAATTAATTAATGTCTCGTATTAGAGAACTTTCAAGATACGCTTTAACTTTCAATCCAATCTAGGTACTTTTATTTATCGAAGCTTCGTCAAATTTTTTTTGTTCTTCTTCTCAAATCCTTCGACTTTAGAAAATTTGCCATTCTCTGGAAAAAAGATATTATTCATACTTATCTTGATTAAATGTGTATACCAATTTTTGGTAATCTATAATTTTTACAGCTAGAAATATTTTTGAAAAATATTTCGCAAGAAGTTAGGATTAATTGAAATAAAATTGATGAAAAATATTATCTCGACGACGTTATCGTTCAAACGCTGAAATTTCAAGTCATACGTATTATTTTCATTAATGGGAGAAATTGCGGAAATAAACATTGAACATCGAGTCAAATTTCATCCTTAATTTAATAAATTGCTACAACGATATAATAAAGTTCAAGATCCTTAACTTTATGTACATTTGTAAAAAATTTTTTTTAAACGAAGTTATAATAATAATTGGCTAGTTTCTGTAATTTTCAAAACTACAAGTATCGTGTACTTTTTTTTTATGATTATTATACGTTTATACATATTCAAGATATACTCTCGTCACTCTTTCGTAAAAATGCTTACAGCTATGGTGTTATTACAATATGCGAGTAACGTGAAATGCAGTTTCGTGTGCCGTGATTCAGACGAAATATTCATCTCATGCGAACGAGTTTGCCGACAAAAGATACAAACGTATCCTTTCTTCCAATTCGCTTATTTCGAAAAATTAAATATATATTTATTTACGTATCTGTTGATGAGAACAATTAGACCGTATTTCTTTTCTTTTACCTTTCTTCAACAATCATGGTCCCTTGGATAAAACAAATGCGTTTCTTGTTCATGGAACGAACGTAACGGTGGTTACAATACGATATATTTACATTCTCTCAAAGAAAAATATACATTCTTAAACAGATTAATAAAACAAAAAATAAAATTATAATATAACAAAATTTAAATTTTATTTCTCGTAGTGAAGAACTAGGTAATACAATATTGTTGACGAAAGATTACTATTTTAATATTATACAAGATATAGTAATTTGAATAATTACTTTTAAAATTTGCGAAACACAATTAAGCAACAGCGGATCGCTAAACTATGAATTACGAACAAAACTAAAGAATCAGGCAGAGTTGAATCGCATTAATCCGTTGAAAAAATGAAAAATTTCAAATAATTATTTATTAAAACGCTCGAATAACATTTATCTATCGTATAATCTCGGCTGTTCGACACTTTTTATTATTATTATTATATTTCGAACAATAAATTATCAAAGTAACTTTATTAAATATGACTGATTCAATCACATTACATCTCTCTTCCTCCACGATTTTTTATTATTTACTTTTCACCATAAAATTTTCTTGATAAATAAAAGATATTTACGAAAAAGAAACTTGACGTGATTTACCAAAGAGTTAGTGAAAATTATTCGTTGGTTTTTCTTTAAAAGCGTTACCTAGTTCCCCGCCAACGCAAACGTACAATTAAACTTCGTTTCTTCGGTTAGACAGAATATTTCACTTTATTCGCTCTATAACCATGCTTTTACCCGGTCGACAGCGCAAAAGTATCCGTGGAAAGTGGCAGTAACTTCCCTCCGGTCGGAAATAGGCTGTAATCACAATGGTTTAGAGGGTTCCGTAAAAACAGGAGAGAATTAAGTGGTAATCAGTACGAATAGCCCCACCGAGCTTTCGGATAAACTGTTCCGCCGTTTCTTTCCTTAATCCACCGTAACACATTTCTTCCTTAAACTCGTGCACAACGCATCGTTGCACTCGATCCTTAACGCTGACGACATAACCTTCTTTTATTTTCGAAACAACATAAAACTCTCGACGCGAGCGCAATCGACGCGATCCACTGTTTCCTTCGTAATATTTATCGCACTATACATCCGTGAACAAATCTGCGTACTCGAAACACCAATAACAAACTCCGCGTATCGATAAATTTGCTCGTTGCGAAGAAAATAATTCCGCAGTTGTTGCAAGCCAAGACGTAACCTACATCTTTTTCTCGTGCTAATCTCTCTGCCGGTAAAGCAGAAAATCATAACGATTGTACGTATCGACGATGAAAATTGAAATCAATCGTGCTTGGTGAATGTTCGTCGCACAAAATTCAAGCGCGTACGTTCCGCTTTTAATAAAGCAAACGGATGAGACTAGAATGATGTAAAAAAATTATAAGTTCTTCGAAGTAAGGCAAAAATATATACGTACCTATATATACGCATATATTTACATTCCAACGTCCTTTCGTCTTAATTTTCATTTCTATTAATTACGTTTCTTCTTCCTCTTTTTTCCCCCCTCTCCCTAATCATTAATGAATAGGAAAATTCTTGCAAATCTATCTGATATGCAACGTGTTCTAAATTAATTCCAATTCTTCGGAATCACACCGTGAAATTAATATTCCACGTTCACATCGTGGATTTCGTTCCCTCTCTCGTAAATCCATTAGACAGCCGCAAGGGACGCGGAAGATTCTACGCTCGTTCTACATCGTTCTGGGTGGCGTTGATTCTATTTCCCGGTGACAGGAACAGAAATGTAACAAGTTTGGCCGGGGAGGCAAGTCGCTTCGACGCTTATCCTCTTCGAGATAAAACGTATAAAATGGGCGAAACTTTTCGATGACGTGGAAAGAAGCGAGTTTGTTGTTACCACAACAGGACGAACGTGTTTCCAACGTGTTTTTATTTAATTAAATCCAGTGTCGATACCAGTCGTTCCGTCGTTACTTCACGATACGATCGTGAAATTACACACGTGTGCATGTATGTACACTGGATGGTCATGGCGATTCTGTGAGAGATGGGATCTATGAAAGGGGGGGGGGGATTTTTTATAGCTATTTAAGGCGATAATGAAGAATAAGGAAATTCGATTCGAAGGCTTTCGCGGTTTTCGAGTAAATCGAGTTTGAACATTTTTCAAAAGTGAAATTAATCAATTCTCTGGATGAAAGATTATTCTAATTATGAAAATAAGCAAGAAATGTAGAATATATTTTTTTCGTTTAAAAAATTGATTTTCAGAAGGAAATCAAATTTAAAAGTTCATCGATTGTTTGAATCTTAACTCTTTGACGTATTATTTTTTATTTGAAAAATTTAATCTCATATTTTTATTTTAAGTCATATAATCTATTCTGACTTTCAAGATCAAATTGTATTTTTTCTAGGTGAAAAAAGGATAAAAAATTCTTTTTCTCTTTTTTTAAATTAAATATAATATACGTGAGCGTAGATAGAATAATCGAGAGAAATTGATTCAATTTCAGAGCGGATGAGCGGATTCAGAAATGCGCGGTTAAAATCACTATCCATGAAAACCGAACGCTGGCTAAATGATCATGAAAAGAAGTAGGATGAGGGTAAGTAGGGTCGCAGCCATTCTGTCGCCACTTCCGTGATGCATCGCTGCTGGATGCTCTGCAACAAACGGAAATTTACGATGTGATGTAAAAAACACTATTTTTCCTTTCCATTGCATTGTAACGAATTACACCGATAAGATAACGTTAGTAGCGAGACTGTCGAGAGGAGAGATCAGAATGAATCTCGTTTCTTGACACTTTTTTTCTCTTAAATTATATTCGATGAATAAGGAAATATAGGTTAAATTAGAGTTAAATAACAATCATTTTTCGTTATTTTATATAAATATTTTTCATATGTTCATGCTCATTGAACAAAAAAATCGATATAAATCACTGTTCTCCGAACAAATGAAAAATTATCGAAACAGTTTCTTAAATCGAAAAAAAAATAACGTGACAGAAAATCGAATAATTTGCTACGTAAATTCTGAGAGAAACAAATTTAATTTTGCCGCGGAAAAACTGTTTAAATTGGTAGAAGAAATCGGCGTTTTAAAAAGTTGGAAACAATCGTTCGACATCGGCATCGTTATGTTTCAAGCAATTAAACTTAATTGTACGGGCGAGCGTCGTCCTCTAATACGTTCGAGCGATGCGTAAATGAAATTTCTGAAACTTGCGAAATTGTTTGGAACGCGGCGCGTTTACTCGCGGCAAACTCTTCCGCCCGAAGTTTGTTCGGGATGTCGCGCGAAAGGGGACCAACTTGTACGCGACCGAAGATTTCATTTTGATTACGCCGGTTTACGAAAACTCGTTTGTGCCGTGTTTCAAGCGCCACACCTCGGCAACAAAACGAATCAAGATAATGCCCGCGTTATTGTAATAACGTCGCTCCTTTCCGTGAACCAAAACACGCCGATATTTAATTTTAAAGCGGTCGTCTATTTGGGTCAATGCGATGCAAAACCATTTTCAGCTGGCTTTTCTATAAGGAAGACGAAGCATTTAAGCATTCTCGTGAAATTTGTTCGATTTGGATGAACGATCTTGGATTATTTTTAAAAATTGTGAAGGGATCATTAAAGAATGATATCGAAATGTAGTTTAATCGTGACAAATAATAATTTATAACATCTGTTGATATATTGTCGCAGTGACATTTCGATTGATCGCTTAAACATACGAAAGTTTTTATCGATAATAGTTATTCGATGTTGTTAATCATTTCGTACGTAAAGAAAAGAATCATATCCACGAAAACTGGATAAGAATTTTTCTGCTCAAAAATAAAGATATATAAAGTATTAATATATATTTATTTATTGACTTGTAAGTATTTTAAATTTACATTAGATGAAACGAGACAGTCAAAATAAGATGGATCTATCTTCTAAAACTAAAACTACTAGTTACCCATTTAATTTTCGAAGAAGAGAGAAAGATTAGAGAATTGAAATTTGTTTTTTTTTCATTTACCATTGACGATATGGACGTGCACACTGCTCGAGTGGGTATTGCTTGGCGAGCATGTGTACAGACCGGCGTCTCTGTCGATCGCTTTCTGGATTAGCAAACGGCTGGAAGTCACGGGTCCCTTCTCCGTGACCAAGCTGATCCCGCCCCTCGGTGAGTCGAAGTTAATCGCCTGCGAAACAGAAAAGAAGACAGACAGAGCGCGCCTAGCATTACCTCGTGGCTGCAACCGAATAGAGCCACTCCAGACGAGGGGGAGAACAAGTGTCTTCTCCGAGTGGCGAGATCCATTCCAATGGAACAAATGCCTTTAAAACACGTTCCCGTACTCTTCAACCTTACCGCTACCATTCCCTTTCGTATTTTTAAGTAAACGGGCGCGGTTGATAACAATGCAACTAAATGGACGTTTTATTTTATTCTTCATTTTTATTATGTAGATGATTTCTTTTTTTTTTTTTTTTATGAATTTAATTCAACCTTGAGATTTATTTGTTCGTCACGCTATTATAGATAAATGTTATTATTGGTTTGACCAAGATAAGAGTAAGGAGAATAGTTAGACGTCAATTTTCTAAGTAAATCAATATTTTCTTTTTTTTCATTCACTAATTTTATATTAGATAAATGATCTGTTATTGGTTTGATCAAGAGTTTTGAATTTTTTTAAATGTTAGAGAACAATCAGATTTTGTAACTTTTGAAATTTTTTTTTTTGACGAGTACATTGTTTTCATCTGATACATTTTGAAATTTGTTTGTTGTTCGCATGCAACAATGTCACAATAATAAATAAATGGTTCTTTATTAGTTAGAGCTATTGGTTTGACGTTCTGAGTATTTTTAAATAGAACATTTTACTATCACGCGTAATGTTGCATGGAGTTTTAGTTGGATCATTTATAATTTGTCGAATAATTAAAAATTCTGAATTTTGAAAAAAATGTATTGACGAGTTTCGTGTCGCCTCACGATGATAAAATTATATATCATAACACTTGCGATCTGGAAATTTTGGCTTCTCTTTCTAACTTATCGAACTATATATAAAATATATAATATCGTCTATATATAAAAAAAAAAAAAAAAAAAAAAAAAGATTTACTTGCAATACCTCGTCTTAATTGATCGAGATAACCACTCGCCCAATCCACCGCTGTCTCTCTTCGTTTTCGACGAACGAATCTCGACGAATTAAAATAGGAACGAAATACAAGTCGAAAAAGACGTAAAATAAGAAAAAAAAAAAAATAACTCGTTCACGATATGTTCCATCCGTGTCATTTCTTCAATTGTTCGTAATAAACGAAGACAAAAAGAAGGGGGTTTGGTTACAATAGGGTTTTCCTCCGATAGATGATAAATCATCATGGTTGACGAAGGGCCATCCTCGGCCCTCAATCAATACCAGATTTATCCGAGTCGTGAATAATTTACGTTCCAGCTATCTTTATTTACGCGCCTGCCCTCCAACGCATCGTTGTCCAGGAACAATCGCGAGCTTGTTAGCCGACTTCATAAATAACTCGGTTCGTAGGAACGCTTTCGACTGGTGCACACCGGTAATCGATATCATAGGATAACAATGGATAGCCACGTGTGTATGTACATGCATACATACGTATAATCCGTGTACCAGTGATTCTTTTTAAAAGGAAAGAAGAGCGAAAATATCGATTATTAGAAAGTAGTGATTATTATTATTATTACTCTGCTCTTATTCTTTCCTGATCAATTTTAATAAAATGAATCTCGAAACTCGAGTAATTTTGTTTCGAAATAGAAAGTTTAAGAGAGAAAAAAAAGACTCCGAGAGCGGCGATAAAAATTCGATTAAAAATCTGAAGAGGAAACAGAGGAGATTATTTCACTTTGACAAAAGCTTTGGGAATAGCAAATTTGCAAGTTGGACACTTTTAATTTCGATTAAAAGTCTAAGAGATGGATAGAAATAACTCTTTGCCCTCGAGGCTTTTTTCGAACAACGGACAAACTCGAGACGATTTTCCGTATTTCCGTATAAAACTTTTATATTTCGATATTTTACGTATCTTTATTACATATAAAGAAAATAAATTTGTCGAATATTAAAGTCTGTATCGTTGTTTTGCGCGATATTTTATAATGTCTTTCACCTTATTTCGACTTATTTCGTCGAAAGGAAACTTTATAATCCTTCTTAACTCCTATTATACGTAACATTCACCGTCTGTTATTTTTATTTTTTGCCTTTTCTTTATACCTCTTGTTTCGTCTCTATCTTCGTCACTGCTCTCTCGCTCTCTCTATCGTCAATTTCTTCAAACTCATCCTCGCTCGAGACTAATCATCGCCACGTTCCACGCTTACAAAAAGTTTGAAAATAATATTGAACTGTGAAACTCAGACCAATGTAGTCCGATCCTCGACCACAATCTAATTTGAGATAAGAAAATCCACTTATTCGACGTTATATTGTTCTATGTTTCGTAAGAGGTTAAGAATCTATTCACAAAGACGATATTCTGAAAGAAAATGAATTATAAAATAAATATTATCGCTGTTCGAATCCAAGTGGTACCTGAGAGGAACGTGCATTCGAGTGCAAAAGGTTAAAAGATATACGCAAATAGGAAATTTGAAAACGATTCGGAGATCTTGCTTAAAAATATTCAGCTTACTTCGTGATCGTGGCTCCAAACGATCGTGGACGGTGGCTCGGGAGCGTATCTGACCAGGCACGTCAGGTTTATCGTACTGTCCTTGTTGATGAACAGATCCGGCCCTCCGGCGATCTCTGTGACCGGCTCTGCAATCAATAGATTCAAAACACTTTCGTATTTCGAGAAATGAAACATGATAGATGATTGGTTTTTAATTATACAAGAGTCTAATTTTTTCTGGTAAAAATTGCGCGATAAATTCATTGAAATTGTGATCAAAGAATATACGTTAAAAGCGTATATAGATACAGAGAACTGGATTAAACTAAAAGAAATGGGACACGCGAGAGGAAGAGAGAAAGAGAAAACTCTCGAATGGTCATGCATCAACCACGGTGAAAGATTTTATATTCATTATTTCGCTTCATGTCTAAACGTACATTTATAAATCGCATGGAAATTATTGTTTTTTTCCGCGCAATATTTCTCGATTTGTTGGATATAGTGTGCAGCTATTCGATCCGATATCCGTTTTTATTTTAAAGCTAGAATTCAGTTAAAAATCGGTGGATTCTTAATTAAAATGAAAAAATTCCATTAATTTAAATTTTGGATAACTTTTGGCCGAACGAATTAACTTTCCAGATTCTTAAATCACTTAAGAGATTCGACCGAGAAATTCAAACAAATTTTTTTATATATTTATCTTGTGAAAAGTAAAAAAAGATTTTTTCGTTGTCATCATCGTGCACTGCCATATTTTCTAAATTTCTATCCATTTTTCGTCCTTTTTTATCATAAAATATTTCATTCGAAGTAAAAGTACTCATACAGTACTGATTCTAAGAAAATTTGAATTTACTTTGAAGAATTTTCAGTTCTTCTTTATTTTCCATTTTCAACTGGAAATATTTTTTATAATGTGACATAATAAAGCATTAAAATTTAAATATTTCGAAAACTTGATAAAAGGTTGATTCGAAACTTCAAAGATTGATTTTGACTATACATTAAAATCCAAATTAAACAATTTTTACCAATTAACGACGAAAAAGATAGTTTCGATCGAGGCCTTTGACTTTCTCTCTTCTGTCGCGGTCGAATTCAATCTTATTGTTAGACGCAGGGAGGGGGAAGGTCGGTCGGGATAAAATCCAATAACGTTCTCGAGGATCTCTGGATGCGATATATATCTCGAAGGGAAGACTCGACCGAGGGAATACCGATTGGATCGATCGGTGCAAGGGAACTTTACTCTCCTTACGAGGAGAAGAATTCGCGTCGCGTACAATCAACGAAAGGCCGGGGCTACTTTGGAATGCGTCCACTCGTTCGTGGGTGGATCGTTTATTGAACCGTTTTGATCGAACGTCTCCAAACGTTGTTCTGCAAATGTGTTACCGCGATACGAAATTAAATAAATTTCCGGAGAATGAGCAATTCAGCTTCGAGAATCTTAAACCGACCAATTTCTACTTCATTTCTAACGTAAGAAGCTTCTGAAGAATGAGCGTGTCCATCGTCGAAATATCTCATTTTTGCTATTTTTCGTCGTAATATTTAAAGTCAGGGTTTGTTTAAGAAGTTTTGTAAAGAAATACTATTTATTTGAAATTCATAATGTGAAATAATGGAAATGTTGGGAAAAGTTTATTGTAAATATATTTTTGTTTCCTTTTTCTTTTTTTTTTTTTTTGTATCTTAAATCGTAGATATTTCTCTTAATAATTATTATTTTTGCAGTATTCTAAATATTTTGAAGCATATTCTAGAACAAAAAAAATCATATAACGAAATATATAATATATATATAATAATACACGAAAAATATTAAACTTTCAAAATCTGAATTTATAAATTTCTCGATAAATTTTTATGAGAAATATCGCAAACTAATAAAAAAATAATCTTTTTCATTTTATAAATTCATAAATTTCAAATAATTTACAATGATATATGTTTCTCTATAAAACGTTTCTATTATACAAAAATAATTTTGGAAGAAGAAATTTAAATTAGATTAAAGAACTATATCATATTTCTATTAAAAATAATATTAAAAAAAAAATAAAGATTCTTTGAAGCCACGTATTGCTCAATCATCGTATGGTTGTCACACGAGAAGAAGCACGATGTCTTAAGCGTTCGATATCGAGTTCGGATTATCTGACAAGCTCGGGTTCCGGATTTCCTCAGTTTGCTGGCCAACTTTAGAATCTGTGCTGCCAACTCGAAGACCTTCATTTCCTCTGTCCTTCGACTGTTGAATGCGCCGCAATATCCACGATACAACATAACGATTTACGGATGTTTCATAAAACTGTCGTTCCACTTATCGAAGTGGAACGAAACAAAATTCGTTACATTTAATTTATAAGCTATAAGCCAATCAAATATTTACCTAAAAATTCAAACTCTTAAATCGTTAATCCAGTTCGAACGAAGAGAATTAAAATAAACGTTTCATCATAGAGGATATTTTGGACCAACTATTACATACCAATTAAACGTGAATTATTTTTTTTCCAATATCGATAACACTGTTTTTTTTTTTATTGAATGGTGTTTGTGACAGAGCTCTTTGTTATTTATAATTCGTGAGCATCGACAATTTTAGCGAATACTTGTGATAAAGAATATTTCACAATTAATATTAAATTAAAAGAAGCATTTTGAATATTATTAAAAACGAATCATATAATACTATATATCTATATTCTGTTTCACTTCTCTTTTATTTTACTTTAAAAAGTGCCCCTTCAAACTATATATACAAATCATAAATGTAATACGATCTTTATGATTTGTTTTCAAACATTTTCGTACATAAACTCCACGTGCTGTCGCTGTTGGAAAGAAGCTCGCAGGACGACACAGGGGCAAGAGAAGTCCTTCGCTAGAACCATTTATCCCCACTTCACACGCTTTGTTGACATTCTTGACACGCTACATAGCAACAGAAGAGCTATAATTTGAACATTCAAAATCGTAAAAATTATTTTCATTTATGAAGTTACGTTAGGAAATATTTTATATATACAATTATTATATTAACTCCTCGAATTAACAAAATTATATTTATAAATTAAAACTATCGTTACAAATCCTAATTAGCTTACGCATATTACGAGAAATGAAAAAAATTGTTTATATCAATACATTATGATTCTTTGGATTCTATGATGATGTATCGAGGTTTAGATATAAATTGTCGTTTTGAATTAATATATATATATGACAAATATCATGATAAAAACAAAAATGCGTGTGAAAATTACATCCCGCGCTCGTGAAACTTCTTTTACGAAACACANCACAAAAAAAAAAAATAATAATAATAATAATAATAAATCAGAATGTAATTTCAAAGTAAAATAAGAATTATCTTCGAATCCGGTTTATAATTGCATCGTGATGTTCGAGTTAAAGCAAACTCGAAGCTATCGGATGTAGTAAAATTCAGATTTCACCGAACGGAACGATTGTTTGAGTTCCGCGTCGGAGGATCCTCGAAATTTGGTCGGAGGGGATGGAGCAAACATTGACAATAGTAATCATGTTGTCGGTGCGGTCTTGTTATTCCCCGTGGCATTTTGGGAGGAATAACAGGTTTATCCATTCGCCCTCCGTCGGCCGAGAGAGGAGAAAGAGGTGGGAGGGAAAGGCAACAGGGATTCCTCGAGTTTCTCGAATTCTCTTTGGCAAGTCATGATTTGCTGACCAACCCGGTGTTCCACCTTCAATTTTCGACCATGTTCCCTTAAGAGCCAGGTCCTGCGCATTCTTGGACAAATACGTCCTCCTGTAAACGAAGTTGCTTCTCTAGGTGGCGGAGAGAGGCAAATTGCTTCGTACGACGTCAGCTTACCGCTCGAGTAAATTGGTTTCTTCTTTCGGGAACACATGAGAATCTTGTCTTATAAGATTCAAAACGAAAGTGAAATTATATTCGTTTTTCTGGGAAAAATTGAAAAGCGAAGCGGTGTGCTCGGTTCTCGTATTTGAACAGAGAGATGGCGCTCGAGACAATAATAAGAGGTTAGGTAATAGTAGACACAAGGCAAGTTTACTCCTTTAGGTAATTATCCAATGTAGTGTATTCAATAACAGGGCCTGAGATTTGAAACCTCCATTCCTCAGCACTCTCTAAGTGAACAACAAAGCAATGCAAGGAGGATCTAAACTCACGAATCTTCATTCTTTTGTTAATCTTGTTATCCGTTTTCCCCTCTTCATTACCTATGACTAATTGCTCGAATCTTCTATTCTGCAGTAGTTTTACTTTTAGCAGCATTGTCTTTAGACAACCAGTCGTCAGCATTGCTCATGATATTGAATTGATATTGAAGTCTGAAATTAATCTTAATTTCAGAATCCTTACTCTTAAACACGAGCAATTATAGCAATTATAGATCCAAAGTTTTGTGCCTCCACTCTGCTAATTTGCAGTGCTTAGTTTTATTCTCGGCACTGGTCAACCACAAGCAATAGGCTGAATATAATAGTCTGAAATTTTCATTCCACTAATTTCGCCGTTCCCAGGCCAGTTTCTCGTAGCATTATTCATGGACAGGCGTGTGGACAACGTATAATGGCCTCTAATTTCGCTTCCCGTGAGCTTTGTCCTCGGCATCGCCCGCTGAAACCTCGCCCACGACCACCAAGTGCTGGCACCCACATGACGTAAAATCTCTCTCTCTCTCTCTCTCTCTCTCTCTCTCAAACAGCAATTCACAGATATCCCAATCTTACCTGATCCTCGACGAATCCTTACGAATTATTAACAAGAGAAATAAGAATGCGTTTCTTGTTAAATTTTTTTTTTTTTGTAAATTCTCACTCTCTCGATATCAAAAAAAAAAAAAAAAAAAAAAAATTTCCAAGAGTCTCAAGGGACGAGAGATTTCTCACTTTCCCGGTCGATGGCCATTCGAGCGCAACTAGAGATCTTCCACCTCCACTCCTTGAGAAGCCTTAAGCGGCGTTGGTGCCCCTTCAACGGCATATTGCTTCTCCTCCGGGAACTTCGAGTGGAGGTGAAGGAACAAGGGGGGCAAGTATTTGTATAGAAGACATTTTACGAGCTACTACCGGCACCACCTCTAGAGAATTCACTCTCCTCGAGGGATAATCGATCCCTCGCTCT